GGCCTCTGCGGTCTCCTGCCAGCCTTGCTTGACCTGCCCTGCATGGTGACCCTGAGTGAGGATGCGGTGCCAGGCTCTCATGTGGCTGAGGTGACCGCGTCCTGTAGCAACATGAGTGACAGCCCCAACGTAACCCTGCATGGCACTGAGCCCAGCCACCCCTTCAGCCTCATTGCCAGCAGCGCTGACCCCATGGCCAACATCACGTTTCAGGTAGAGGTGCTGCCAGGGGACAGGGAGTGGGGCAGGAGCCCCTGGACACCCTGCTAAACACTGCGTCCCCATGGCAGGTGATGCTGCGTGCTGATGTGAAGCTCGATGCCCACTGGGTGAACCTGTACACCCTGACCCTGCGGGCTGCTTGTCCTGGTGAAGATGAGGTGGAAAAGCAGCTCTTTGTGTGGGTGACAGCAGGGCAGGTGCTGCGCTGTGATGCTCCCTTCGCCAGCGCAGGTAGGAGGCAGGAGTATGGGGCAGAAGGGGCCACTGGTGCCAGCCAGTGCTGGGCTCCCATGGCCATGCTGTGCTGCAGAGGGAGACGTGGTGCGGGTGCCAGCCCGTTTAGCCGGTCAGTCCCCAGCCACTTGGGGGGCTGACGGTGAGTGGGGTCTACCCCAGCGGCCACAGCCTCCCGCAAGTAGGAGCAGCCCTGGGGATGCTGGAACCCCAGGCGTGGAGGAGGGGGACAGGGGTTCCCACCACCCATATCTTTGCAGTTCAGACTCCAAAACCACAACACACCACTTGTGCTCACCCGCCAGGGCCTGGTGCTGGCACCTGCAGGTGGCTTTGACCCCAGCAAGGACACCCAGGTGGGCACCAGCGTTCCCAGGCTGTCACAGCCACCTCCCAGCTCACAGGGACTTAGCCCCTCACTTGCGCTTTCTGTAGCTCTCAGCTCTCTGCATCCTGCTCCTCCTATTGGGCTCCTGTCTCACTCTGATCCCAGGAGTGCTCCATCCGTTTCTCTGGTTCTTGCCACTTCTGCATTTTGAATCCTGTTCCAGTCCTCCTCCACCTCCCTGTTCCTGTCCCCATTCCAGTCTCCAGCTCATCCTCATCTCCATCCCTCTTCCTACCCCTGTTCTGGCTCCAAGGCCCCATTCTTGTCTCTGCCCCCTTCCCTTTTCATGTCTCTGTCCCTGTTCCTGCCCCCATTACTATCCTCATCCCCATTCCTACCCCTGTCGCCATCCCCATCCTTGGTGCCTCTTGGGGCTGTCCCACGGCTGCCCTGGCACTACCCCACAGACGTTCAGACTGGAGATCGAGGTGATGGACCGCCATGGGCACAACTGCAGCGGAGCTGTGAGGGTGGAGGTGCTGCCATCACGCCGTCCTTATGTCACCTTCCTGTAAGTGGGACTGGGCCGGGTGGTGGGTGCTGAGGGCATCAGGCCATGCCACGCTGCCCACCTTGCCTGCAGTGAGCCGCAACAGGCCGTGATGGTGACAGCGGCCATTGGCCCCTTGGAGGTAGTCACACAGGTCCGTGCCAGTGGTGACAACGTCCGCTACGCCATTCTTGCGCCTGTGGCACCCATGTTCTTCACCATCGATGAGAGTGAGTAGGGTGGTGGCAGTCCCCAGGGCCACCTTTTCCCTATCCCTGTGCCTGGTGCAAGGCCATGCCTCGTCCTGCAGTGACAGGCAGCATCCGCAGCACCCAACGGCTGGGCACAAAAAAAAGGCTTACAATGAACTGGACCCCGCTGACCATGCTACCACCAAGCTCAACATCACTGTGCAGGGCAGAGACCAGAAGGAGCCAAGCTGTATTCCAGCCATCTCTGTGTACGGTTTGGGATAAGAGTGGGCATAAGGGATGCTCTGCCATATCCATGACATGGGGCCGGAGCTGAGCTGCTGGCTGCCCCACCGCAGGTCCCAGGTGCCTGAGACACTGCTCCCTGGCAGCACTCTGGTGACACTGAGGTGCACTGGCTGTGAAGGCACTGAGGGGTGTCTGCAGTATGCCCTTGAGGGGCCCCCTGCTTCCCGATCCCACTTCCACATGGAGGGGCCTCAGCTGCAGGTGAGTGAGGCCATGGGCAGCACCCAGTGCCCAGCAAGCCCAGACCTGGGGAGCCCAGTGTGGGACAGTGGGGACCCTCTGACAGGATGTGCTGTCATACCAGGTCCCAGGCCAGGGTGCCCTGGGCGCTCTGTTCCCCAGGGCCTGGTTTCACAGTGAAGCTGTGGCTGCCCCATCCCTGGCAGTGTTCAAGGCACGGGCGGACTGCTCTAGTGGAGATGTCTCTGCCCGCGGCAGGGGGTTGGGACTGGGTGAGCTTTAAGGTCCCTTCCAACAGAAATTCTATGATTCCCCTCCGAGCTCCCTCCAGCTTTGTGGGATACCCCAGCTTTGCAGGGCACTTGAGGTCTGCCTAAACACCCCTTTCTCTGGCTTGACAGGTCAGCACCACCCTGGACTATGACTCAGAGGCCATGGCTGCTGTGGGCTTCCAGTTCACAGCCACCATCGTGGTGACAGGAGGAGGGCAGCCCCCACATAGCAGTGAGTGCCTGTATCCCTGGAAGGGTCATGGAGAAGGAGGGAAAAGCCTCTTCCTGACCCTAAAACCAACAAATCACAGAGGAAGTGTTTCTTCCTGCTGCCCAGGGGGGCAGCTCTCCTTGTGTCGCTGAGCTTGCCCAGGGCAGAGCTCACCCAGCCCAGTGTGGACTGTGGGGTGGTGCTGGTGGGACTGAGACACAGTGTGCTACACAGCCCGTGTGCCCGTGCTTGTGATCATGACACCTGTCAATGAATTCACACCCGTGTGCCCCAACGGTACCACCTTCACCGTGCCAGAGACAGCTGCTTTTGGCAGTGTTGTGGGGCTTGTCGCCGGCACCGACCGTGACTACCCACTGGACAGCCTTGAGGACAGCCTGGCGGGGGGACCTGGGCCCG